TCGCAATCGAGAAGCACCACACCGAAATTCTATCCACAACAGAGGCGGAATACATAGCCCTATGTCACTACATGCAAGAAGTTATTTTCTTAAAGCTTCTTTTAGTAGAGCTTGAACACGAAAGCTCACATGCTATTACCCTATTTGAGGACAATTAAAGTTGTATTAAACTTTCCTACAACCCAGAACTGCATGGCAGAAGCAAGCACATTGACATTCGGTATCACTTTGTACAAGAAAAAGTAGAGCGAAAAGAATTTGAAATTATGTACTGCAACACCAAAGAAATGGTAGCAGACATTTTTACAAAAGCACTATCAAAACCCCTTTTTATAAATCTAAGAGGGTCACTATGTAAGACACTCATACAAAAATAAGAATAAGAAAAAAAAAGGAAAAGAAAAATAATAATCGATATGTAAAATTTATACAGCAACAAGTTTTGTTAAAAGTAAATACGTATTATTTAAATCTTAAGATTAGCACGAGGAATGTCCTCAATTGAGTACACACCATCTACTGTCTCAAAGAAACTTGTCAAAAGCTCCTCCCGGTTAGGGAAGAAGTGATAGGTGTCGGAATCGATGAACACAAACTTGTTACCAACCCAGGCACGAGCGATACAATGCCATGTACCTGCTCGTTGCCCAGGCCGCCTACCTATAATCAGCAGAGCCGATTTTCGACTCCGCACGATGGAGGCAGGTCGCTTGGGTCTGCTCTTGAACCCCGACCTTGTGTTCAGGTAAATCAGCTGTTTCCGCCGCTTCTGCAAGCCCTTCTGCAACGCATATATAGTGTAGGCACCGTAGCGTGGATGTCCATGATCCACACTTGGGCTCACCTCTACCAACCGAGCCAAAATAGGCCGCCACATGGCTGGGGTGATAAAATCTCTAGTTTGAAGAGCGTTGCTGATCGATAAGAGACCGCACATTGAGTACCGGTCCGACAGCATCTCTTGATGTTGGCACAAAATTGATGTGCGAAGACTGACAGGCATCTGTGTATACAAAAGATAGTATATTAGTACTGTGCAAATCACATGAACCATAGCAGCAAAATATTGATTGCAGTAAATCAATATGACAAAACCCAAGGTTATTGAGACCAGTGGAGACGATTCGCTACCGAGTGAAACAAGTTCACTCAGAGCTAGCCCAGACTATAGCGTCAGGCGCGCATCGCACTAAGTCTCGCTCCCTTGAGGATTGCACTTGATCAACACCTTCAATACTTGCATGCAAATCAGAAGAAAACTGCACCTGTGCAAAAGTTGAAAGATCAGGAAATGAACACTTAATGCACTCAACGAGAACGATACGGAAGAGAAAGCAAGCTTATTTCACTGATACTTGAACTGCACGACGGTAAAGAACTTTGCGACCTTCGGAAAGGTCTAGACATACTTCTAGCAACTCACTACCGCAAGAAACAGTCGATTATCCTCGAAGTAGTAATTTTAGTCAAAGTCCTCAACGTCTTGAATGCAAATTAGCCGCACCATCTGGGATAAGAACTGCTCCCAACTTGGGACACAGAGAGGCTGTCAATGATGTGTCCTAATTGGTGACATAGCGTACAAGTTATTGTACAAAATGTCTTACCATACAAAATATGTTCTGGACCCAATCCTGCATAAGTCGATACATCACCTTCTACAGGAAAGATAAATCAATGGTGCCAGGAAACTCCCTGAAGACAGACTCATAAAATTCAATCACATCTCTTTTTTCTTCCTTCTACTCAAGCTTCTCCACCTTCCTCGCCTCACCTTCAATATGTATTATTAACTGTAAATAGTCCTTTTAGTAATACTGGGCGAAAACAGTATTCACGAGTGTGGTACTGTATTATCGTTTTTGCATGTGATTTGAAGCTAAAATACAGTCAGTGCCTGTCAGCTGGGATAATAGTTGCGAAAAGCAAACTACGAAAAAAAAACATTATGTCAAAAAAAATGAAGGTTGCATTGTTAAATAAATGCTACCACTTGGATGCATGAAGTAGTCGCCTCCTAGCTCTCTCAAGAGACGAGAAGTTAGCATCATATTACACAACGCTACATGGAGTAGGCTGTGAGGTGCAGCCTTTGCACAACATTAATTATGATATGCTGCATATATTATTTAATTTACTTTGTTCGCAGCGAACTTCGCTTGGCGTACAACCAGTGTTGCACTGCGCAAGTTTCCTACACCTTCCGTGTTAATCTATTCACTTGAATCAATCAGTTTTCTTACATTTTCGACCAATCATGTCTTGCCGGCACAGTCGGCCAGGTGTCGGCAATTTTATGGTATGGTGTGTCTGCCTTACATGTTTCCGAGGAACACCTCAGTAGCTGGTATCGCATCTTGTGTGGCTTAGTTAGTGCACACACCATACATCGAATTAGCTGGCTCGTAACGATGATGTACACATTCATGTCTTCCATGAGTAGCTGGGAATCCTCGCGAGCCATGTCGCTGCAGACAGTCGTCCACTTGGTCGTCGTGCGTTAAGGAGGGGGGATTCAGAATTCACTGTTTTTCTGTATGAAGAAGGATCCTTACTCTTAAGAAAACGGATTTCAAGGACGGTGATTGGCTCACGGACTGTCATGATTCACTTTTATTCAGTGGTGTGTAGACACCCTTGTTTGGTGTGTTTTGGCCAATGTAATTGTGGCACACGTGGTGCGATGTGACATTGATGTGTCCCACGCATACTGTGTGTGCTATCACAATTTCTGTGTGTCATACCTTGGCTCTGTGTGACTTACCGGCTCTGTCATTATTAAATAAAAAAATTGGTGGTTTTTGATTTGGCGAATTACGATTTTATCGATTACGAAACTCAAATTTTCCCCTGAATATTGCTTTTAAAATTGTGTCGCGAAGGTCGCGCGATCAAAGATGGCTACATCAGCCGACAGCCTTGTTTTTAGTATGTGACACAACTCCCTCTTTCGCCAACAGGTTGTCTCCACAGTTACCGGTAGTCGCTTCCAGGCTTTTGCGCTCTCACCTCCGTCTACGGCAGCCTCCCGGCTCGCAGCTCTCCATCTTCTACTTCCACATACACAATACAGCTATGGTGGATCTGCGCCCCATTCCTGATGCAGAGGCCATGCCGCCGTCTCCGCCTGCTAGCGAAATCATCGACGAAGACGAGGACGAAGCCGAGTGTCGCGTGTGTCGCGGCGAGGCTGAACCTGACCGTCGTCTATTCGCGCCGTGCAAGTGCAGCGGCAGCATCCGCTTCACACACTCGGACTGTCTGGAGCAGTGGCTGGAGCACTCGGGCAAGAGCTTCTGCGAGCTATGCGGCCATGAATTCACCTTCACGCCGCTATACGACGCCAACGCGCCGGATGTTCTGCCCTGGACGGAACTGCTGGGCACAGGACTACGCGTCGTGTTGCTTAAGTGGTTTCCCTTCGCTCTCCGCGCCGTGCTCGTGCTGGTACTGTGGCTTGCGGTGGCGCCATGGTGCACTAGCTGGCTCTACCGCATGTGGCTGCTACGCGCGTCGGCCATGGTGAACGTCAACTTCTCGGAGCGCTTCGACGCGCCACACATCGTGACCGACATCTTCTCCGGCGTGATCCTCATCGTGTGCATCGTCTTCTCCTTCTTAGCGTTAATGTCCTTTGCAGACTTTCTGAGATTCCACTTGGACCATATCGAGGAAGAGATAGCGGCCGAAGAAGTGCCGCACCACCATCATCACCGTCATGATGTAGGGCAACACATGCGACGCGCACAGTTTGGAGAAGGTAACCACATTGAAGAGAACGAGCAAGGTGCCGAGCCTAGAATACTCGAAGGACCCCGGAGATTAGGGAACCTGGACGACAACGCTGACTCGGACTCGTCAGATGAAGAAGAATGGGCCGATCGGAACCGCGACGAGCCATTCGCCGACGCCTTTATCCAACACCGCGAGTTTGGGCTTGTAGAAGACGCAGATCCCGTCCCACAACCACAAGATGAACTCCGCCAGCGACGACCGCTACGTGACGCACCGGAGATGGAAGAAGAGCGTCGGAATGTTGCTAATGCACCGCCCAGAGGTGCTCACAACCGCGTGGATCCGCCGAACATGAACCAACGCGAGTGGGAAGACGACTTTGAGCATATGGAGATCAACATCGCGATGGATGAGCTGCTTGGACTACGTGGAGACTTTGTGGTTTTGTTCCGTAATGTGTCGTGGCTGCTGGCATTTAACGGAGCGTATCTCGGTCTGTTCGCATTCATCCCGTACACTCTCGGTAGCACTTTACTGTCTGCTGGAGCCAGGATTGCTGCCTCGTTGCCAATTGCCTCGTCACTGGTCCCAATTGAGTCTGCTACGGACGAAGAATTGTCCATTGGGAGCTTTTTCGTCAAGACTTTGCTGCAATCTATTGAAACAGCCAAGGAAAACGGCGACTGCTTGCAACTGGTGGACATTTGCACGTGCACAATGGGCTACCTGTCCATTTGCATGACGATCGTCTTGTGGAGGTTTATGGTGAGGACAGCGTCTTCGTACATCCATCGACCACTTATGGACGGTCTGTTATGGGCTCTACGCTGCCTCACGGCCATGGTGAAGGTGTCGACGTTGCTCTTACTGAAGATGGTGATCCTGCCTATTATACTGGGACTGTGTATCGACTTCGCGACACTCCACTTGTTCATGGTGAGTGCTCAAGACCGCATTGCGTTCTGTATGCAGAACATGATTTGCGCGCTGATGGTACACTGGGTATTGGGTATCACCTTCATGCTCTTCGTGACGGTCTCTGTCTTGCAAATGCGTGAAGTGGCCCACCCAGACATCCTGGCTAAGGTGATTCGGCCGCAAGAAGACCATCCGGATCTACTGCGCACGCTGCTGAGCGAGAGCTGCGTGAAGCACGCTCGTCGAATGGTCTTGTCTCTTGTGATCTATGCGGCGCTGTTGCTGGTTCTCGGTCACGCTCCGGTGCGCATCGCGAGCGTCCTGGTTCCGTCGTTCTTCCCGTTGACACTGCGTTTCCAACACGTTAGTCCGGAGATTCAAGTGCCACTGGAACTTCTGGTTGTTCACCTCGTTGTATTGAGCGTCTTGGAGCATGCGAAGAACGACATCGGGAGGTTCCAACACGTCGGGATTGTGTTCGCAAGCGACCGGTTGGGACTGACGGAGTATCTGTTGCCACAAACAGAGCTGGAGGTCGTTGTAAATGGCCAACGCAAGTCGAAGATTGTGGTGTTGCCTCCTCCTCCTCTTCACTTTCATCCTCACGCGCAGATCCCTCCCGAAGAGTTACGTGTTGATGGCCACCGCTACTTGCCGTGGCCTGAGGACGGTCTGGACGATCCACAGCCAGTTGAGTACCCGTTGCTCCCCCGAGAGAGACCGTCGCATCTCTGGCTTCGACTTGCTGGACTCGCTGTCTTCACGTGGGCAGTTTGTGTCGTGGTGATTGGGACTTTTGTCTTTGGCTCGTTGTTTATCGGTCGGGTCTGCATGGGTCCATTCGAGCGTGTGTCTGGGATCAGCCACGACCCACTCGTGATGGCAGCTGGTGTCCAAATTGTGTGGTACGTTGTGAACAGTATTCACGCTCTCAACATCCTGATGCTTCCGGAAGACCGAGTGGACCCCTCTTTGATCCAACGTGGCTACTCTGTCCGGAACATGACGTTAGCTAACGCCGTGACTTGTATCGTGGGCTGGGCCTTTGTGTGTCCGCTTCTACTGGGTCAGCTGATGGCGTCGTGTGTCGCCAGTGCGAACGCGACCTCGGTGGAGAGTTTCCTGATGGGCTACTTAGGGTTCAACCTGCTCGCGTGGCTGGTTTGCTGCTTCCGAGCGAGGCGCAATCGACGTCGTAACCAGAGACAAGCTGCTCTTGATGAGCTGGACGCTGACGAGGATGGATTCTTGGATGTGGACAATGAGGACGAGCTCTTCGAGGACGAACTAGATGATGATGAGCTTGAAGAAGAGGAGCCACGACATGAAGAGGGCGCTGTTGCTGCCACAGAGTCTGTGGGGTTTATTGCTTGTTTCCGCAAGGCGTACCGTCAACTCCAGTTCAATGTGATGGTGCACGAGAACGAGGGTGTTCGTCTTCGTCGCGATAATATCCGCGACAAGTGTTTCGACGTGGAGTTTTTCCAAGAAAACGTGCTGCAACCCATCGCCGCGTTCCTTCTGGGGATGCTGGTGGTGCCGTGGCTCCTGTCTGCCATGGTGCTGCTGGTCTTTACGTATGAAAAGGCCAACCTTGAGAAAACGGCCTTTGCCATGTGCGCCTTCTGGGTGGGGGCAGTGTTTGTGCTGGTGCGCTCGCACTCGCATGTGACTCGATGGCTGTCGAATCTGAGCGAGTCGATCCGCAATGAACGCTATTTGATCGGTCGTCAGCTTCAAGATATGGCACGGTAGAAAGGAAAAGAAACTTTAGACGCAGCGGGACGACTCCAGCCATTCGGTAGTATAATTCTGTCCATCTATTGTGGACGTAAAGGGTGCCTGGCAGCATTCAGGACGATAAACTGCGAACCTGGTTGCGGGTATTGATTTAGATTAGGATGACAGGAAATTTATGTGGATAATAGCAATTCCGTTAAAAAAATATTTTTTCTCTTAAAATAAATTCGACGGTCCTGTTCGGCGGTTGTGACACGGTCGGATCCTAGAGTCCAGGACCTGGAGTCGGCCATTGTCATTCTCAAGATCACCTCGAGTTGTCAACATGGTGAGCGTACGTCGCGCTCTGGAGAAGCTCAAGCTGCCCGGTGGTCTGCACCGTGAGCGCATCCAATGGCTGTACGAAGGCACCACGTCTCAGCCTGATGACGGCTACCTGCTGTACTGGATGCAGACGTCAGTGCGAACCAAGCACAACTACGCGCTGGAATACGCCGTAGCCGCTGCCAACGAGTTGAAACTGCCTCTGCATGTGGTGTATCTGTTCCCGGATCGCTCAGTTACTCCTAAGCTACAATCATTCCAGGACGATGAGTGGAAGGCCGAAGCGATTCAAGACGCCAATGCTCACGCGTTCGCCACTGAAAGACATGCGCTCTTCGCGCTTGAAGGTCTGACTGATGCGTACCAGCGACTTGCCAGTCGTGGATTGAATCTTGACGTCTTCCATCATCAACATAAGGAGAACGAGCGTCCTACCCGCGACGAACTACTGGAGTTCTGTGCACGTAAAGCTGCGCTGGTAGTGACGGATTGTCCGTACTTACGCCCGTGGCGTGTGGCGCTAGACAAGCTCGTTTCGTCGGTGGAAGATAAAGGCGACGCTGGTGCAAGCTCCAGCTTCGGTATCGTTCAGATCGAAGGCGACGTTGTGGTTCCAGCTGCTGTAGTCACTGATAAGGAGGAGTACGCGGCACGGACGATTCGTCCCAAGATCACGAAGCACTTGGATCGATACATCGCTCCTTTAGAATACATGACGCTGGACCCAGCGTACTACACGGAAGGGAAGTCGCTGTTGGCTGTCCTCAATGAACCAGAGCAGCTCAAGCCGCTAGATGTGACGGATTCGGAGGCTGTTGCTAGTACACTGGAGCTGTTAGATGTTGACCGTAGTGTGAAAGCTGTGGGCTGGCACTTTAAAGGAGGAGAGAAAGCAGCTTCGGCATGTGCCAAGAAGTTCCTCACTGCAGACAACCTTGTGAGCTACGCTACTAAACGCAACGAACCAAGTCTGGACGCTGGTAGTGACTTGAGTCTTTATCTGCGCTATGGACACATTTGCGTCGTCCGTGTAGTCCTCGCTGCACACAAACTGAAAGGTGTGAAGCGAGCTAAGGAAGGATTGGCTTCGTTCCTTGAGGAACTCATCGTCCGTCGGGAATTGTCGGTGAACCTGGTAGTGTATAACCAAGATAACTACGACTCCATGTGCTGTCTTCCGAGCTACGCGCAGATCACGTTGCAAGAACACGCCGATGACAAGCGAGACCAACTGTACTCACGTGAACAGCTCGAGAACTATCAAACCGGAGACAGGTTTTGGAACGCTGCACAGCGCGAGCTTGTAGTCACGGGCAAGATGCATGGCTACATGCGCATGTATTGGGGTAAGAAGTTGCTGGAGTGGACACGTACCCCTGAAGATGGTTTCAATGCGGCGTTGGTGCTCAACAACAAGTACGCCTTGGATGCACCTGACGCAAACTCGTACGCTGGTGTGGCCTGGACGTTCGGAAAGCACGACCAAGGCTGGAAGGAACGCCCTATCTTCGGCAAAGTGCGTTATATGAATGAAGCCGGCCTCAAGCGCAAGTTCCGCATGGACGCGTATGTGCTCAAGGTGGGACGACTAGCAGCCAAGGCCAAGAAAGGTTCGGGAGACGAAGAGGCTGATGTCCTAGAGGACGAAGAACATACGAGTCCTTACCGTAAGAGAGTTAAGAGTAAGAGGCCAGCGGAGACTGGAGCCGCTGGAACCGCTGCGAAGAAGAAGAAGCTGCAACACAAGTGAAGATTGGTAGGGTTGAGAACTCAAAAAGCTTAAGAATATCCATTGCAAAGTTATTTTTACGAACTGTAGTTGCAAAGTTGGCAGCGGCAATGGAGATGCAAGCACGAGCAAGTCGTCCACCTCTTTCGATTGTTACAAACCTTTCGCAGCAGCAGGTTAAGACCAAGCAGATAAATATTGCTGTCCATCCTGTCGATAAGAACCTCTTGAAACCCCGTGCACATACATCAGCTTCGAGCACACCTCCCCCGGTACCGCAAAACGCCACTAAACAGAGGACGTTTACTCCGAGTTCCACATCAAATGCGGCATCTCGATCCCGTGCGTACAAATATTGCTCCGACCCTGATTGTATTTCCTCAATGGGATCCGATACATCTCTGAAGGCAACAGAGTCAAGTACTATACGGCCAGCATCACTCTCATCAAGCCCGCACGTATCGCCGATGAATTCGGACACTTACTTTAAGCTTCTCAAAAAGTCACAAGTCGTCGAACACTTGGTGCAGTTGAGCTCTCATGTTGGCCAGAGTGAGCAACAAGTGCGGCGTCTTCAAAGTGAACAAGCAAGAGCTCAATGTGTACAGGGTCGAGTGTTCTCGGAACTCGAGAGATATCGTCGTCAGGTGGTCGACGTGCAGAACCAATTCTTAGGGCTAATCGAAGCTCTTACAGCACTGTGTATGCGAGAGGAAGAGCTGCACGGAGACACCACCGAGACATCTGATGACCTTAAGCATCGTGATGCTGTCAGCGCAGAAGACCAGACATTACTGGACTTGCAGTGTGCTTCATCACCAGCCCCAGAGTCGACCTCTCCATCCTCAAGTTCCACGCTGGAGACACAAGCTCTGGCCACGGTAGGTCGTCAAAGAGTGCAGCAACTTGAAGCTATTTGTGCACGGTACGAGAGACAACTGGTTGGCTCGGAGGCTGCACTCTCGCAAGCAATCTACTCGGATGCAGCACGAGAAAGCGCAGTCAAGAACGCACAATTGGAGGCGAAGAACCAACAACACGAAGCTGACAATCAGGCACTCCAAGCTCAGCTTGAGCTCGCACGCGGTCAGGTTGCACATTTGCAAGAACATCTCACACAGGTTCATGAACGTCAGACAGCACTCGAACACGTAAGTGCCTCCACTACTACTTTATACTACGTAGCATTAGTTTTGATCGTGAGAACTTGGCAACAGGTGAAGCAGCAACTTGAACAAGAATTTGCACGGCATACAGCAGCAACTCAAAGGGTGCGCTTATTCATCAAAACTCCACACCTCAAGGCTACACTTATCGCTCTTGACCTCACAGTTTGCTGCGGATCTACAGACAGAACTACGCCGTCGCTACGGGTAAGTTCTTAAAGTTTACGATAACTACTATAGCTGACTGTCATGCACTTGCAGTGTTGTGCCGTCAGTTCTGGACATGAAATGGCAGCACTACTTCCCGCGATTGAGCCGGCCATTCTAAGAGACATTCATTCACTCAAAGACCCGCGCATGCAAAGGCACAATGCAATGTTAACTCACTTTCCACCCATATCCTTATCCTTCAGAAAACCCGGTGGCAAGATACCACCAAAAGCTGGCCTCTACCAGACGATGAATGCTTTAAAAAATGCTGCGCTGTGATTCTTGCTCGCCATCTCCATTTGTTTCTCTCTGTATCATGCTGATGTCTTCAGTCTTCCCTGTAAGATCCTTCTTCTCCTTCCTCTCCGTCTGGTCTTTCACCCTCTTCACACCGTTGTCAACAACTTGCACGGTCCTTCAAAAGAGCCTAAAGGTGCCGGCATCCCTCTACTTCTTGAGGCCCTTAAGCATCTTTTGCCGGCGGCCGGTCGAGAGCTTGTTCTGCACGAGGAAGGGCGCCTGGATGCTGCTGAACTTGTTCTCGTTGCCCGGAGTCACCCCCGCGCCCAGACCACGATCGCTACCCATGGAATTGACACTCCTACTAAGATTATTACTATTGTGCCCACTGGGGAGCGACGAGCTCGCGTTATAGGACTGCGACATCGGTTGTAGGACAGGTACCGGCGGAGGAGGAGCTCGATTCTGCCGCCATGTGTACGATTCCTGCGTCTTTACCACCTTTCGCTGCTGCGGTTGCTGGTGCTGCTGGTGCTGAGGCGGCGACGGTGCCGGCGACGGTGCCCGCTGCTGATATTGCACTGGTGCCGGTGCCGGCGGAGGAGGTGCCGGCGCACGAGACTGAGGAGCTCCACCCACGTTTCGCACCTGGAACTTCAGCGTCAAGGGCTTCTGCATCACCTTGAGTAGCGTCATCACCTCCTCGAACGACTTGTCACGTGCATGCACGCTTCGTCCGTCCACAGAAATCAAACAGTCGTTCAGCGCAGACTGTGGTAAATGCGCCGCACTCCCAGTGCCCGTCACGCGAGTAATGTAAGGATACTCGCACATGTTGTCAGCTCCACGCAACGAAAGCCCCAGCGGCGTGCCGTCCTGCCACACCAAATTGTAGAACTGCACGCCGTTGTCTTCGCCTGCAGCAGCTAATGCCGCTTTCCTGCTGTGACTTGGGGTAGGAACTTCGTACTTGGTCGGAGAGCCGCCACCGGAGCTCGACGAGTACGAGTGTTGTCGCTCATGGTGAGACTGGGCAGCTTTGCGTCGGAAGAAGAGCGTAACTGGACGTGGCACATTCTTTAGATGTGCCACAATATCCTGGAACGCCACACGAGACACGTCCATGTCGTTGATGTGGGTCACATCGTCTCCCACACAGTCGTGAGATAGATGTGCTGCGGCTCCCTGAGCAGCGACGCGCTTGATAAATGCGCCCGTATGCGGCTTTGCGTCGATAGTGAGACCCAGAGATCCCGACCCCCACACCACCTTGTACACGTCGCTCGGCGCCTCGCGTGATACTTGCCTCACAACCTCGTGACTGGGAGTAGGAGCAGGCATGGGTGCTGGCTCCGGCGGACTCATGTGCACTGGCGCACTGTCGTAGCTGGAATGCGTACTCGCTGTATAGCTAGCGTCGCTCTTAGCGGACAAAGCTGTGCCATTACTGCGGTACGACGACGGTCCTCTAGAGTCATCGTCATCCAATGCAGCACGGAAGCGTAGCAACACAGGCTTCGGCGCTGTCTTCAGGTACGACACTACGTTCTCGAAGTGCATCGTGGCTGTCTCGATGCCGTTCATACTCTCCAAAAAATCGCCCACCTGCGCCTTGTCGATACCAACCGAGTTACCTGTCCCCGTGACCTTCTTGATCACTGGGAGATCGCCCTCATTCAGACCAGGAATGATCGTAAGACCCAACGGTCCTTCCCCCCAGTTAACCGTATATTTGCTGGGTCGAGACATGCTCATGCTGAAGTTCATCACTGACGGAGTGCGCTCTTCCACTTGTGCGTTGCCGTTCTCCGGTTTCAACGAGCTGGGTTTACGCGACACAGTCACACTGCTACGTGGCGGTACCTGAGGAGCTGGCTCGTTATTGGGCGTTGAAGCAGGACCCGGACCACCCACACCACGGAATCGAAGCTTAGCCGGTAGCTGCACCTTCTTAAGGATCGACATGGACAACGAACAGCCCAGCTGGATCGTGTCGATGTTGTTGATAGCCACCAGTACATCACCAATCGCAATGTTCTGTTTGACAGCCACTGATCCAGCCTTCTTGGTCAATCGGTTTACAATCGGGATCTTCTGTGTGGCGCAGTCATCCTTCAGCGTCACACCCAAAGGTCCATTCGACCACGTCACCGCGTATTCGTGTACCTTGCATTTCTCCGGAGAAGGGTCGCCGGCCTCGAATTTCATAATAATGGGCGATGCGTACGCAGCGAAGATATCGTTCAAGTCGTCGTCTGTGCACACTGAGTCGTCGATAGCGCGTCCGTTGATAGACAGCAGCTTGTCACCCACACAGATATGTGCGAGCGACTCGTCAGCGTCCAACTCCGTGACAGTGTTCCAGATACCCGTCGAGCCGTCAGCTCGGAACTGCAGACGCGGTAGAAAGCTGTGCTTCCAGACCACAACTCTTAACGCTTCGAACGCAGCACAGGCGTTGTTCCACGAGGATTCCTTGGACACGCTGCGAGTTCGACTGACTGTCGCTTCGGATCCATCGACCGCAGCCACTCCTGCAGCCACCGCTTCTTCAGCAGACATGGGAGCCGCCATCTTGTCCTCGGACTGCGGATTGGACTGCAAGAAGGAATGCTCCATGGATTTCTGCAGTGTCTGCATCTCCTGTGAGTCCATTTCCAGTCCGTTCTTCTTGGCCAAAGCAGTCCAGAAGGTCGTCGTGGACATTTCGCTCTGGAATCGCTCCCGCATTTCCATAATGATGCGGTTCATCTCGTCGTCCCGCCAATTGGCCTTCTCTGCGCGCATACGAGATTCGATCGCCTGGGCGATACGCGCTTCTTCCTGTTTCTTGAGTCGCTTCATGATCTTTTCTTCAATCCGCTTCTCCACATCAGCGTCCAGACTCACTTTGCGCTGAGGTAATAGAAAAGACGCCAAAATGAGTCCAAAATGAGTCTAAAAAAGCCTAGCAAAGCTTCAAGCATCGTCCTTACCGAGAGTGTACTGCCTGAAGACTCGACGCTGCGTGAGCTGTTGACTCGTCGAGACTTGGAGCGCCCTCGACCTTTCTTCTTGCCCTTCTTCTTCTTCGGCTTGACTTCTTCTTCCTCTTCTTCTTCCTCTTCGTCTTCATCCGAGTCTGTCTCGTACTCGGCACTCGAGTCCGTCTCGTACTCGTCTGAGTCGTCATCGTCTGACTCAGCTTTAGTAACAAAACAATTACGCGAAATATTAGTGAATAAACGTCGTGGTCAGCGAAAAATGACCTACACTCTGAGTCGTTAAACTTGGAGCAGCGCAAGTTCCGACAGCGCAGACGATGCGCCGACGCGTGGTGCATATTGCATTCCTGAGGTCATTTAAGGCATAGTTAGTCCTCACTACCTCATGTGTTCGACGCTGTTCGTTTTAGTCCTACCCTGGAGCAGTAGAAGACCTCTCCACATCCACTCATACAGGGGATTTTGGCCCCCTCAGCGCCACAGTTACCGCAAGGCTCCATGCTTTGCAGCGCCATGAGCAGATCGTCGTCCTCATCGTCGTCGTAGTTGTTCTTGGGCATGGCTGTCGGCCACGGACGCGCAGGAATGGATATGGGGAGTGTGCAGGGCACTGACGGACGGACACTCACGCTTGCGCCGACGCCGTGGAGCGCGCTCTTGCCGCAGTAATCAGTCTTTCTCCGCGCGCGCGGATTTACCTCTGGCTGGGGTCTTCTCCTTGCTTGACTTGTGCTTTGTATCAGGCGACGAGCGAACCTAATCGGGAGATAGCACGCCAGGTAAACTTAAACGGGGAGCTGTTGTGCAATCGAAGTGGAAAGAGACTTTATACCACTGTGCAAGCACATCCCCCGTATAGAATGCATTTTACAATTCTGCGTCAAACCTGTGCAATTATATATAATATCCAGTTTTTTTCCGCCTGGTGAACAAGTCGGCGTGTAAAACACGTCGAGCGTTGGGGGTGCAGTGTGCGAATGCCGCATGCTCGCCACAGCAGTCTGTCAAGCCAGTCACTTGCGCCTCGGCCCAGTCGCCGCTGCACTTCCAGCTGTTTCACTGTTTGAACGGCTGCAGTCCGCTCTTCCAGCGCTATCAACACGCGACACAATCCCGGGACACAACGATGAACGATTAAACCATGGAAATCTGCTCGGTGAGAGCAGTCTCCGCTATTTACTTCAAAGCATCAACGGTCAATGCCATCCGGACAGTGATAGGGATCACTCTGTAGATGAAAAGCCGTCCTCTCACAATCACACACCGCGCTGGCGCAACCGTGGCTTTGCAAGAGAGCGTCTTGACGGCCCGTGTTGGCGAAATTCAGAAGTGCCCGTCTTCGTGTGTAGCTCTTTTGCTTTAGTGAGCGGTCTTTGCACAATAAGACCGTTTCCTTCCGCTCCGAGGTGGCTTCGCGTACGGTCAGTGATCACTTTGACCACACTCGTTGTGGCGACACTGACGTGGCAGGAAAATGACGGTCGCTTGCTTATGCCAGTTACTAACTTGCTCATCGTCGTTGCTAAACTTGCATGTCCTTGAAAAGTGTCCTTCAGCCGCTGACTCAACGTACTACGCTGAGCGTAGGGCACACAAGGCAGCGGAGATTATAGGAGCTCTTTCCCAGTCTCCTTCTCCATCTTGTGTCTCTCACCATGGTACGTGTCACTACATGTATATTACGTCGAACGTCTGCAAGTCTTACGTAGCATCGAAGAGTACGGTACCGCTGAACCGAGTTGCCAATGGCAACTTGCCACTCCAGCTTGTGCGACTGGGTGAACGATGCTCCACCCACTACGCCAGCGAATAAGACGTCCTCGTCGCCACTCGTTCTGCGCCGAGGCTGTGACGCAATGCAGACGGCACGGGAGCCGTCCAGCGCACGAACTGTAGACTGAAGTGTCGAGGTCAACGTAGATCAGGTTGCCCATTTTGCGGAATGGGATCTTGAAAATAGGTCATGTAAAGGTATCTTCAGTGAAGGATACTTTTTTCTCTTAAGCTTAGTCCTGTCCTGAATGGCTGGGGTTCGCCTTGGTCACCGCCGCTCTCTAAGACCATAATAATCAGCTGACTTTCATTAGTAGTGGCATCGCTCCCTTCATAAAAGCAATTTATCCCTTGTGCCGACTTACGGAGTTTTATTTGCTGACCACCGAAACGTCTTGACCTGATGAAACGATAATGCATTGACGAAACTCGATTATTTCGTGAGTGAAGATCCAGCTTACAGTAAGCCGGCAGCACAGAAAGCAGGGGTGCTGTCCCTAAACTGTTAGTGGCAGCCATTCCTCGAGTTCTTCGTCACATGCTCTTTGTCTGCTGCATGTACAGGAGCTACCACAATTTTAAATATGATGCATGCACGATTTCTGTCGGTCTGTGACGTGAGAATGAGTAGACCTGGGCTCATTTTACTTCGCTTAAGTGCGTCTTCCTTATTTTTGAGCTGAAATTCCAGCTCATCTCGCAACTCAGTCTCCGATCTTCCCCCCGGATATCTGTGCACCAGTCCTCAATCTGCGCAGCCCATTGAGTATCTATAGGTGCTCCTCTACAAAACTATGGCCGGCGCAAGTCCCAAGAAGAACGGCTCCGCGCCGCAGACACCCAAGCAGTCTCCTCCACACTCGTCACCGACTCCGTCACCCTCACGCGGCCCCGACGACGTGGACGCCGACGAGCTGACTGCGCTGATCAAGGCTGTCAAATTTGCACATCCTGGATTTGGCGTCAAGCGCGTACACGACCAGGTTCTATCGCATGGTGGAAAGTTTGCTCGTGTTCCCTTTAAGCGTGTCAAGCGTTACATGCACAAGTTGGGCATGAACTCGCCTTCGGAAGAGGACAAGACGCCTGTAAAGCTCATGACAGTCGGCGGGGACGCTAAGTCGCTGCGTGAGGGTGGTCCAGAGGCCTCTGGGGCCACAGACGATATGGTATGGCTGCCTGTCAAGCTGGACGAGCCTGCGTCCAAGCTCCAGGAGTTCCCGTACCAAGCTGTAATCCGAATGACCACCAACGAGGAGGGCGATGCCGAGGGCTCGCTCGGTGAGATCTACAAGATCCAGGTGGCCGTGGAGAGTGACGGATCTCTCAGTACCATTCACCCTATGCTGGTGTACAACAAGGCGCGTTCTCGCAAGACGTTCCTGCACCCAGACTCACCGGCCTATCTGCTTGTGCAACGATTGGTGACCGCGCAGGGTCAGAAGGGAGCTGTTGGCGGCTCCAAGGCCTACTTCTGGGGCCGCTACTTCAAGATCGAAGACATGTTGTACATCAACACGGAGAAGCTCGCACCTGCCCAGCTGTGGTAGGCGGTGAACGAGAGAGAGCTGTCGCAACAGGACCTGCAAAACGACGGCAGGAGGATTGATGAAAAGCGAGGTGTTGATTTGGGAGAGAAGACACGAAGGAAAGGGAGGACAAGTTGGCGGGACTTGCTTCACAGTCGCAATCTGGCGTCCGTGGCTTTGCGTTTTGCCCGATATATTGACTGCTTTTTCACTTTTGCATGTGCATATTCTGCATATTTTTTGGCGGTAGACCGATGGAAGTTGCGTTTTTGATGTCGAGACGCCGTGTTTGCTGCTGTGGTGCGGTTCAACCTGCTGTCCCTCCTTGCTCCCCGTGCTTCTCGATATGGTGTTGGTGTCGAGCCGCCTGCTGTTCCGTCCTGGTTACAATAAGCTGTCAAGATGTCGCGTTACCCGTTCGCTGCTCTCCGTCCACTAACGTGGAGCTCGTGTGAAGACAAAGTTGATGAAAAAATCGAGCAAGAAATGGCACAGCAAAATGTTGCCCAAATTTCGTAACAAAAAAATGAGAAAAGATTCACGTAACGTTAGCTTGAAGCATGTACAGCGTAGCACTTTTGACGGTCAATGCTGCTTGTTGACTGAGCAAACCTCTATGTCTGCCTGTTCGTGCTTGCATTTCACGCCGTCTCTTGTGTTGATGAGTGCTAGGGGTCAGTTGAGCGGGGCTTACCGCTTCGATGGCACTCCGGTCCCGAAAAGACCGCCTTCGTCGTCACTGTCGCTTTCGCTTTCACTGCTTCTCACAGCCCCACCGAAAAGTGAGCTGTAAGGTGCTGGTGGAATGGCAGCCTGAGGTGTCGTCTGCACGAAGCCAGGGGCCGGAGCGGCAGCGGTTGGTGCCGGTGCGCTGGACGGTTCTCCGAAGAGGCTGCCGCTGACAGGGACTGGGGCCTGGCGAAGCTCAGGCGTGGGCTGTGAAGGCGCAACTAAGACTGGGGAAGGAGCGGCAGCCGCAGGTTTGGGAGCTGCATTCTGCGAGCCAAATAGCGACTGACTTCCACCGTCATCATCGCTCCAGTCGCTCTCGCTCGACTCGTCATCATCCGCAACTGCAGCAGTAGCACCGAACAGGAACGATCCTGACGTCGGTGCAGGCGTAGATGCCGCCGGGGTTGGTACGAGAACAGGTGTAGGTGCCGGTGTCGGTGCGGGTGTCGGTGTCGGTGTCGGTGTCGGTGTGGGCGCCACAGGTGTCGGAGCTGATGTTGACGCCACTGGAGCAGGCATCGCTGAAGGCACTGGGGCACGGGTCGGAGCGGTTGTTGCAGCTTCCAGTGGTGTAGACACAGGAGTCGGTGACGGAGCTCGTTCAGGAACTGGAGGAGGTGCAGAGGTGAACACTGGTGCGGGTGCTGGCTTAGGAGCTTCAACTGCTGCAGCCGGAGGAGGAAACGAAAGCTTCGGAGTGGGCTCTGGAGCTGGGGCAGGCGTGCCAAACAGAGACGAAGCGGAGGTCGAGGACGGAGTCGACGTGATCTCTGGTTTCGACTTTGGCTTGTCGTCAAGTGACAGTTCGTCCATGGAGAAATTCGCCATCAGCGCGTTAGGGAATCCTGTCGGAGCATATGAGTACTGCTCCGTAGAGGCATCGTATTTCGGCGCATACGGATCATCATCCTCGATCTGATAAGGCTTCATGGGTTGGGCCACCATTGGTTCCGGTACCTTGTGCAGTGTCGCTGAGACAGCAGGTGTCGGTGCCGGTGTTGGTGCTCGTACCGGTGCGGGCGCGGGTGTAGGTGCCGCAAAGGTGGACTGAACCGGAGCTGGAGAGTTGTAGACTGCCAGCTGCATGTCATCCGCAGTGGGAGCGCTGCTATCGCTCGAGTGAACTACCTCGTACGCTATAAAGACGACACAGAGCGTGTCTTGCTACTACCGACGTCATTTTCAATTCAGGACTACTATATCTCTGAACAGTACGAACGCGGAGCAGCGTTATTGGTAGAATTCTCGGTAGTTGAGGATACGGCGTCGGAAGACCCAGTGCCGCACCATTTCGCAATTGCACTCGACTATCCGTACGAGTACAAACCAGACTTTGAAGTTTGTACATTTTACAATCACACTTCCGAGGGAT